CCCAGGACAGTTGACCCCCCCAGAAGGACACTCACTCATTCAGGACAACAGACGGGTGACTTCTAGAAAAGAATAATTTTATTAAACACTAAGAAATCCGTATAAAAACCACTCAGCACAAGCCCCACCCCCTCCCCAGAGTCTGTGTCCTAGGGCCACATTGGCGTCTCCCCATCAGTCCTCACACATAGTTCTTGCTGGGGTAGTCGCTGCGAGCCTGGGAGGTGGCGGCAGTGTAGTGGGCACTGTAGGGGGTATCATCTTTCTTGGGGCAGGAGCAGCACAGAAGCCCCCCACCCAGCAGCAGCAAGGCAGCCGAAGCCCAGCCGATGTACAGCGAAGCCCCCAGCTCCCTCTTCTGGGCCTCCACCACCATGGGGTTGTAGAAGTCGCGGATGATGCTATTGGCCGACCAGCAGATAGGAATGAGCAGTAGAATTCCAGCCACCAGGAAGACCACCCCGGACACCAGGCTGACCCTCGCCTTGGTATTCCGATCTTCCACACAGTTGGTGCATTTGGCTCCCACAACGCCGACGAGCACGCCGAGGACGGCGACCAGGATACAGATGACGGAGAGAGCTCGGGCAGCCTGGAGGTCTTGGGGCAGCGCCAGCATGGAGTCGTACACCTTGCACTGCATCTGTCCAGTGCTTTGAACGATGCAATTCATCCAGAGGCCCTCCCAGATGATCTGCGCCACCACAATGTTGTTCCCGATGAACGCCGTCACCCTCCACATGGGCAGAGCACATGTGATGATGGATCCCACCCAACCAATCAAGGCCAGGGCCATCCCAAGAAGCTGGAGACCAGTAGAAGCCATTGTGCCCGGACTCTGCAAGAGAGGAAGCAAAAGGTCAATCCATTCCACCGTACCCAACAGTTCTACCATCAAACCATCTCCAGGGACCACCACCACCAGTCACTCCTGGCCAAGAACAGACCCCCAGTTACACCTCCCATCATCCACAGGGGCGGGCAACCTTCGCACACCAGCTGTTGTGGAACTACAAGTCTCATGAGGCATTGTAAAGCATGACTGAGGCATGATGGAATTTGTAGTTCATAGCTGGAGTGGACAGGTTGCCTACCCCTGGTTTATAAGTAGTCCCAAGCCCCAAAACCTGAAGAGCCCAAAACCCAGGAACACAATGAAGTCCTGACTGGTCCAAGTGTTGGGCCCCCAGGATCTTTGGTTGGCAAAATACAGTTCAAAGGGTCCAGACAAGGCCAGTAAGGAGGCCTCCTCCAGCTAATCTTTAACCCTCCCCCCCCCTCAAAGCATACAGACCAGACCCTATAGCAATCCCACCCCACCCCCTCAACCACCAAAATTACTATTGTGTTCAGATAAGACCAGGTCTCTCCTCCTAGGTGGGGGAGGGGGTGAGCAGAGAGTCATTCTTCCATACAATAGAACCAAGTTTATGGAGGAAGCCGAGGAGATCCC